GGAATCATCATGTTTAACTTGCCATGTTAATCCAGATTTTTTTTTTGTACTTTGGTGCACAGTTCAAATGTAACTGAATTTTATTAATTTTGTTGATATTTTTAAAAATCTGTAATTAAAGTATTACAAGTAAATATGTTTATCACAGCCTTAGAAGGCGACTTAAATTCACTAGATATTAGAAAAGGGTTAAAAAAAATAAAATAAAATAAAAATAAAAACCTAAATAGAAATGAATTCTATTTCAAAGAATAAAAAAGCAACAAAAAAAACACAAAAAAAGCAAAAAAACAAAAACACTTTAACGTCGCACCTACTACACGTCATCACGCAGTTGATCACGTCACCAACCAGGAAATGAGTGGAGAGGAGGGACTGGAGAATCACAACAGAGCAACTCACCGTAACTGCTGACAGTTCTGTTCTGTGCCGCCAAACCACGGTGTGTTTCCCCGGTTATTACCGTCAACGGACATGTCACGGAAAGCCAAAGAAGAATATTATCGCTTCTTTACCGTTACCGACCCGCGTACACACGAGAAAGGACACACCGAGTACAAAGTGACAGCGAGGGTTAGTTTACAGTCTTTATCTCTCTGTAGCTGCACTTTCATTTATAGAAACGTAGCTTGTGTGTGTAATTACGCGTAATAACTATCTGGTAAGCTGATGTGTTAGTGTCTTGCTAAAGTGTAATTCATGTTTAATTTATCGATGTTGAACCATGATTCCCTTTGGTCCATTACATCAGTCAAAAGTAGGTGGCTTTGCGTTGTTATCCATTTATGCCACAATGAAGTCACAGTTCAGACAGATAAATACACAATGGGCCTTTTATGGTGCACACGGAGCGCTCAAGTGCAACACAGAGAACTTGTGATTCAATTCAGGCGCTCCAGCACCCCCATGACCACACTAATGCCCCGTGATTTACACAGGCATGCATACAAAATCAAAGAGGATCATGGAATGTGTGGGACTAATTCAAGCCTCCATCACTTGCTCTCGTAGTTATTAACAAGTAAACGTACAGAGAGCTCCCAGGTGATCCATTTCCAATCATTATATCATGCATGATTTAATGTCAGAACACTGGTCTGAGGTTTCATGTTGTGCCTTGCAGTTTGTGTCCAAGCGTCATCCAGAAGATGTGAAGGAGGTGGTGGTGTGGAGGAGGTTCTCAGAGCTGAAGAAGCTCCATGGAGAGTTGGCCTACACACACAGGAACCTGTTCAGAAGACAGGAGGAGTTTCCGCCTTTTCCTCGCGCACAAGTTTTTGGTAAAACATTGTCATAATCTGTCAGTTCCATCTCAGGCTAACTGGGTTGGTTTCTTTACCAACAGATGTTTTTTTTGCATTCTCAAAGCTGTTAAATCAGCTCAATTAGTCTGTTGAGTAGCTTTAAAAAAAAATCTGGAGAGGATGTGCTTGTTCCAGTTTTTCTGTCTGAAGCATTTTGTCATGATTCTTGTGACACTTCCTCTCACCCGATGGCTTAAGTTGAACAGTTGTTACCTTACACAGCTGGAAAGGCAGCTACACAACTGAGCCGTACTAATGGATAGTCATCATTTGAAGTTTATGGCAGCATATAAAACCAACGCTGCCTTGCTGGATCAGAAATCAAAGTGCTTGGCTAACAGGTGGTGATTTAATGAGATATTTGCTTAACACCACTGCAAGCTACAGCCACAAAAACAACCACAAAACAAACACTGTAACCTCAACCAGTTTGAGTTTTATTTATATATTTGTGCTGTTATCTAATTATATGTTTGTTCCCTATAATTTCTTGGCACCGCTGTCTGAATTTCGAACATACTGTCATTATAACTTCGTCATTGAGTCGGTTTTTGTACTGTGTGCTTCTGTTTTTTAGGGCGGTTTGATGAGGCTGTGATTGAGGAGAGGAGGAATGCAGCAGAAACCATGCTTCTGTTTACTACCAGCATACCTGCACTCTACAACAGCCCACAGCTCAAGGACTTCTTCAGAGTAAGAAACACTTACACATACGCTCAAAAACCATGTTTATACTTGTCTTTAAACTGCATCTTTAACATCTCTAACTGTAGTGTACTTGTGATCAAACAACTCAAACCGTTTGCTGAGGTGGTCTGGGATGGAGTTGGCCACATATTTTTCATAGTGAAAACCTTTAATGCATCCTGACAAGGACTTAACAGGACAATATGGCATAATTGCAGGACGTGGTGGTTGTTTTGGTGACAGTGTGCCAATGTTAAATAAAATGGACAGGAGCCAGAATAGCTTATACATGTGTATTAGTTTGTAAAACATCTTTTTTTTTTCCAGACAGACAGAATGAAACAAACCTGGCACTTGTCTGGAAACAGTCTAATGTCATAACTGTGTATGAGAATAACAGACCTTCCAGCAGAATGACTTTTTCAGGAAGTAGGAAGCTGAACACCTTGGAGACCTGTGATAGACACAGGTGTGACCAACGATGTGTCTTGGCTGTCTGTGTGTGTTCAGATCACCAAAACACATTTTAAAGTACAAACAGGGTCCAAGTGAACCGGATGTGTAGTAGCCAGACCAGGTGTCATAATACTCCTGCTTTTCCTCTTCGTGATGCACATATGCTTCTTTCCCTTCTCTTTGCTCCCCTTGCATTCTCCTTTCCCCTCACTTCTCCTGCCACTTCTCCTCTTTCTCCTTCCCTCCTCTCAGGGCGGCGAGGTCACAAGACCTCTGGATCCCTCCCCTCTCGCCTCCGCCGGGCCTCTGCCTCCCCCTCTCATCCCTCTCCCTAAACGAAGGGCCTCAGACTGTGAGCCTGCAGAAGAAGAGGAAGGGAGGGAGGCTCCTACTTTACCTCAAGATCTGGGCACCAACCTGAGCTTAGAAGTGGGAGAACCGGAGGTGGCAGCTGAGGCCTACAGCGAGATCGGAGGATCCCCGACAGAAGAGGAACGGGAGGAGCTTAGCGATGCAGAACTAAATGACCGAGGTCTGACTACCATAATTTTGGGCTTTCTATCTTTCTTTTTTTTCCCCCTTGTTCTTACTTTTTCGTTCATGTTTCCACGTTTAGTTCCATCTCCTGAACCATCCCCAGCCAGAAACCACCAACAATCGACAGAGACCCAGGAAGAATTTGATTCACTGTTTGACTCCGTGGCTGAAGAACAAATCCCATCTCCGAAGGAAGACGTTCCTCCTCCACTGTCTGATAATGACTTGGCTGTCTTTGATCCCTGCTATAAACAAGGTGATATAAAAATAAATGTGAATATTGTTATGTGAAAAAAGAACAGTGGCTGTTCAGTGTGGGGTGACTTTATCTCAAAACTTAACTTGACGTTGTGTTTTGTTCTTTTTAACTTTTACTTCCTTTTATAAATCCATCCAGTATTTGCTGAGCATCACAGCATTTCTTACCAAAGATAGATGTCTGATGGAGCAATGCTTAATAAGGCTAACGCTCTCTGATTGGACTTCCTTCACTTGCATTGTTCAGGCTCTGCTTTGTATAAATGTGGTGCTTTGGCCGAGTGGCTCCATGAATTTCTGTTGCTCTAATAGTTGCACATTGTGACCCGATGCTGTGTAATATAATACAACAGCTGAATCATTTTCTCTCTTGAATTGAGTTATGCTGTAAAAATAGATAGAAAAAGTAATAGAAATGAATATCAGTATGATGACTTTGGTTACATAATGTTCTTTAGAGTCCACCATCAGTATTAATATTGCTATTCACCCCTTTAAATTGGTTTTTCCTGATTGAAGTGGACTCTGATACCAGTCAGTGTGGTAGCGTGGCCGAGCGGTCTAAGGCGCTGGATTAAGGCTCCAGTCTCTTTGGGGGCGTGGGTTCGAATCCCACCGCTGCCAAGAATGGCTTTTAAATTGCAATGTACTGAATAAGGAACAGTGAAAAGTTGAAGATATGTCTAAGCAGGGCTCCGACTGAAAAATGTTGGTTTCGTAATCAGTTTAGCTGGTGATTATTTTTGTGATTCCTTTGTTTCTAATTTGTCTTTTAAATTTCAGAAGATAGTTTAAAGTTATAATTTCTCATGTTCAGTTGTTTGTTTAGTTAGAACTGACATATTTCAGTTGACTAATGTGTTAGACAACGGGCATCAGTAGCTTCTTAATCTGAACTGATGTAACCAGACAATGGTTGTTTTTTTGTTTTGTTTTTTTTTACAAATTTGTCACATGTGAAAGCAGACATAATCTAAAGACACCATGGACTTACTGAAGAACCTTCAGAACCCACTGGAAAAGTTATTTCTCTACTCGAACATCCCTGTCTCTCTCTATTTCAGATAGATCAGATTCCGCCACGGATCACTCAGAACTGTTCTCGCTGCCACCGGCCAGTCTGGACGGGAGAGACGCAGGCTACTTGAACCAAGCAGCCAACGAGCTAACAGCTGCCATGGAGAGGGAGAAGGAGGGAGAATTTAGTTCTGCCATTCGTCGATACAGGACGGCGGTGGATATTCTGATCACTGGAGTTCAGGGTGAGGAACACTGCTGTGGGGAAAGATGACAGGAGGTGATTAGTAGTTGAACTACATGCTAAAGAAAGATGGAAGATGATTGCCCCAGAGGTGAGAATGTGGTGGAAAATTTATAAAACAACTCAGCGACGCCCTGCACAGCTGTCTGTTATCTCTATTACTAGGCTGCTCTCTAATCTGTAATCATGTGAGCCCAACAAACCCAGCAATTTTTTTTAAATATTGCCTTTTTCCTGAATGCACTCTGTCATGGTCACTTGTGCATGAATTATCAACCAGCTTTGTTGCCATAGCGACAGACCGTGAAGTCACTCTTTCAACTGCTAAAGCTGCGGATTGCGTGACGGTGCACCATGTGCAAATAAAACAATGTATTGAGCATTTACGTTTACGGCTGCGACACCTTAGCGACCATATTTTCTGATGTGCTGCTCACTCACGCTGATAGATGCATTGGAAGCAGCTGATACACATGAACACATGCAGGAGGGTCTAAGGTTCAGCACAGAAAACATGGCGTTGTCATAAAGTGCTGTTCTATTCTAGTATTTATTGTCCTCCTATGTGCTTGCTGTGAGTCAGTAATGGATAGATGAGCTATTACATCATCCATACAGTCTGCTTAGCGGGAGCTGAAGTGTGGTAGCGTGGCCGAGCGGTCTAAGGCGCTGGATTAAGGCTCCAGTCTCTTCGGGGGCGTGGGTTCGAATCCCACCGCTGCCAAGAATGGTTTTTCAGCTGTTGTAGAAGGACTTCAGTTGTCGTTTGAAGTGCAGTCTAAAAACATGGTGTTTGGTTCCTAACTGGTGGAGGATTTTGTCTCAGGTGCATAGTTTTACTCAGTGTTCAATCAAAAGAATGTGGGTTGAATTCTTTGAGACGTTCTATCTCTCTTTCAAATTTCTTCACATGATATCTAAAAGAATTCTTTCTTATCTTGAGACAACATGTCCGAGCGGTCTAAGGTGCTGGATTAAGGTTTTAAGTCTCTTCAGAGGTAAAGGTTTGAATCCCACTGCTGCCACAGGATCTTGAGCATTAAACAGTTACGATGATGTACCGATATATAAGGATCTCTTATAAGAATCTTAAGATGGCACACATGAATAACATTTTAAGCCTTTCCTCTTAAAGAAGAACCTTGTTGTTTCTTATATGCTGGAAGACCAATCTTACGTAAAATATACAGTCAACATCTCAACCATGAAGCTGTGATGACAGTCTCTTAAACACAGATTCAAACTTATGCGTTTTCATACATGACAAGCCAAAGGAACCAAATCTGTCAGCTTGCAGGGTTGGGTTTCCTGCATCATTAGTCTTCTTCAGACTTGGTTCCTGGCTCAAACATGCATGGCTGAATTACTCCAAATTACAAATTGCTGTGTGTGAGCAGAGCTGTAGGTAAGCTTGTGTGCTTGAGCTGCAGCAAGTGGGGAACGGTGCAATAATGCAGAGTTACATCTAAGCCAGGTTACAACAGGAAGGGGATTATTTTTAAGCGGGAAAACGTAGCTTTGGAGGTTTTTTAGAAATGTAATCACATGACTGGAGAGGGACTTTCAAACTTCTCCTTTTTTGTAGAATCACATTCTTTTTCAGTGGCTCTCAAGAATGAAAGCAATGTGGGAGGGTAGTTCACCTGTAGAATGGAAACCACATGTGAAACCAGCGTCACAGGTTTTAATGCCATCTGTGATGTCAGGGAAGATGGCCACAGGTCCAACACTATCCACAGATATCATGCTCAGGACAAAGGGTAGCGTGGCCGAGTGGTCTAAGGCGCTGGATTTAGGCTCCAGTCTCTCTGGAGGCGTGGGTTCAAATCCCACCGCTGCCATTTAACTCTTTCCCCACTAAAAACACCCACACAAGTAGGGATTATGTCAAATTTAAAGAGAGAAGCATTTCACCATGTTGTTCATTCATGTCTGAAAACTGCTGCATTTTAAAATGTTTTGAAAGTTTTTTAGGAGTTTCCCTTTCCTTTAGTTTGTATTTGATTTTCTGTGCACGTAAAATATCTCAAACCACAGAGAAGGGAGTTATCACCAATCAGAGCAGACTGAACTTTTATTTAAAACCTTAACGAGTTAAAAACAGAGAGAGGTGCTGCAGCAATGTACAGTCTGAGGAAAATAATGTGTTTTTGAAACATTAAAGCATGTGAACATGTTCTACTAGACCCCAAAATAGAATTATAAACCTGTAGAAATACATCATATGGGCTCTTTAAGATAATATTTGCCTCACCAGCTGCTTTGCATTCATGCATTTGTCGAGTTAATCCCACAGTTACACATGTATGTGCTACTGCTACCATGTCACAACCCTGTCATAGGTTATCTATAGGTGCCCTGCTGTTTGTTCTCTCTTCAGAGCTATTAATAGAAAAGTAAAGTTCACCCAGCCTCTGCCACGACGTGTATGACAGTGATTTATCTGTCGACATGTGGTAGCGTGGCCGAGCGGTCTAAGGCGCTGGATTAAGGCTCCAGTCTCTTCGGGGGCGTGGGTTCGAATCCCACCGCTGCCAAGAACCCTTTTCGGCTCAGATATGTCATTAGGAAACCATAAAAATGATAGAACTAGATACAGTAGTGCTGCACATAAATTAAAATTCAATGTCATGTGTGTTGTTTCTGCTCTGCATGTGCACAGTCCCACTATTAGTCCAGATGAATCATTTCCAACATTTTGTGTCCATACAGGAGACCCTGACCCGGCACGCAGGGAGTCCGTGATGAGGAGGACGGCTCAGTATCTGAAGCACACCGAGATGTTGGTCGACAGGCACTCCTCGCCCACACACACTCTCACGCCCACACACACACATGCACAGGACCCGTAGACCCGCACACACACACACACTGTACATTAATACACACATGAAGACAGATCAAAGACAAACGAGCTCAGGGTTGTGATGTGCACACACGTGTCACACATACTCACAAAAAAATGCACAATGAAGTATGGCAAGATCCATCTGAGCCCCAACATTCCCAAACAGAAGGTCGTCCAGGTGGGAAATGCTACTGTTTATGTCACACACACACACATGTAGACACACACTCCTGAGGTACACACTACACTGCAGACTGGTCCTTTAGTTGCCTTTGTTTAGTGACAAATGTGTGATTTACAACATCTAAATATATGGAAAGTAACTGTACACCAACTGGATTCATGGATAAACAATCCATCTCTCTACCTTGGTCTCTGTATCTTGCTTTTATAATGTTCTCTTCTTGGATACAGTAACGTGTATGTATATCAGTGATTTGCATTTTGCACAATGTTTTGTTAATAAATATGATTTTAATTTAAGTCAATGACATATCTGTTTTCTTAGGTGCATTTTGAAATAGCAGTTGATGCAACCAGTTAGATTTAAAACAAACTATTTACGTTTATTACATTTACAAGTACAGGCCCCACATTAGAAACGTCAGTATGCCTTCTTACATTTTGTCTACCTTTGGTTTTGAAAACAGACTATTTTTTCGGATGCTCTGTGCTGGAGGGGTTGTGTTTCTCTACCTTTCTCTTGAAAAAAAGCCCCCAAAATGTTCTGTTTGATTCAAGTTAGTCACCGTACTTGCCCATATGGTTTTTTTTCTTCTTTCGAAACTCAAGCGCTCAAGTTCTCGAGCTGGATTATTCCTCTTTGTAAAGCTTCTACAGACTGGGAGTCATCTTGTAGGTCAATGTTTTTGCATCTCCCCAACACCTTTTGCACTCATGCAGCTCTATATCATCCCACTCCCACCTCCTTGCTTCACTGCCAGCACTATGCGTTCACTGTGGTCGTCCTGCCCAAGTTCATGCTGGACACCATCTGAGCCCAATTCTCTTTGAGCTCATTAGGGCCTGAAAATGTACCCCCAATATTTACCAGCTTCTTTCCATGTTCTTCAGCAAAGTTTCATTTTCACAGGTTAGTGCCACAGAGCAAACAACTTATTTTCTCCATAAACATCGACACAAATAGATCGATGTTATGCAACGTCCTTCATGCTGTCTGAGCTGTCGCAGAATTTCCACTGACAGCACTGCTGAAGCACCTGCGCATCTGTTTTGCTGAGCTAGACGCTGAAAGCAGCACACTGTCCAAGAGGATGACCACTGCAGCTCTGATTAGTGGCACTGTGGCTCGTTTAATACCTCCCGATTAAAGCTGGGGCTGTGTTTCTGTTGGTCACTTCCCATCTTTCTGAAGTTACATACTCTGTTTTTGTCCATTTGGAGCCATGATGCAGACATGCCGATAGAGACAGCTCATAGGATGAAAACTGAGAAAGTTCTGGTGTTCACAGGTCAATTTATAACCGTTTTAATGCAGTTAGACAAGTTGGAAATCACAGGTGACCTCAGTTGTATTTCATTGATGTCACTGCATCAGTGATCACAAACTTTTCTTGCAGTGCTTTTCTACTTTGGGGCTCGTATCTTCAATATAGTCTTTCTAAGGTATTTGCTCTTAATTGTTTTTGAAAGGAAAAACCTGTAAACTTGGGGAAAAAAGCAATTATTAAGAAGTGACATTTAAATGATATTGCACAGGGGTGTACTCACTTCTGTTGTATACTGTAAATGCACATAATCATGCACTATAGCATCGGGGTTCTAGGTTTGTTTCTGTATACAAGGACAGTAGGAGACGTGCGATGGTGTTTTTCTCGCTAATGCAGCCATTAGCGTTTTTAATGGTTGCATCATTTCAGAGCAGACTGTCCAGTGTAGTTAAGTACTCGCTCGCTCTTCGACAGAATCCAGCAGTTCTTGATGGTTTTGCAGGTGCAGTAGCGAGGCAGCACCTCTAAGTGGCGCTGTTGGCTACCGGATAATAAACAATTACACATCCTCTTGTGCAGAAACTCCTCATCCCTCTTTTTAATGTTAAAATCAGGTAAATGTGATGTTTGTTTTCCTCGGCTGAGCGGTTCTGAGCACAAAGCGGTAAACTGGACGAAACTGTTAATGAACTCTTCTGCCTTCAGCTATCAAAACAGCTGCTGCCAGTTCAGTTCTGTTTCCTTTTATGTTAAATATGCTGTAGAGGGGGAAAAAAAGTCCACCTCTGCAAAATGGACATTTAATGAGGTGACGCAATATTTATTATAACTCAATTAGCCTCTGCTTTTGTCTCATTAGTGTGTGTTTGTCACCTTATACGCCCTGTTTTGGTATCACAAGATATCCCTTCTTGACACTGTAGCAGGTTAAAGAACTGTAATTATTAACATATCCAATATATAAAAAAAAGCCCCTATGTTTCCAGCATCCTGTTAAATATATACCTCCAGACGATATACAATTATGTTTGCAGGAGTTTCAATGTGCACGGATCCGGATGATATTTTAAAGAATCAAACCAACTACCTTCTGCAGGCTTAGTTTCCGCATTTTTTTGACAAAACAAAAGAGGACAGCGGTTGATCGAGAGAAAAGAGGAGGAATTGGGATGCGAAAAAAGAGAAAAACGGATCACTGCCATACAGCAGAATCCCATCTCTGGAGAGGAGAGAGGGATGGAGGGAGGACTGGAAGGACAAACAGATGGAGAGGCAACAAAAAAAAAAAAAAAAAGAAAAAAAAAAAAAAAAGAGGGAGGCCGGCAAGAGGAAAAGGCTACCCTCTCGCTCACCAGATGAGAAAATTAGGGGTTGCAGGGAGCGAGAGATAACAGAGAGGATGGAGGAGAGGAAAAAAGAAGGGATGAGATTAGAGGATAAGCAGAGATCATCCCTCCATTGTTAAAGGGATGGAAAAAAACTGACCCTCCCTCTTCCTCTATTTTCATCCCCCCCGTACCTCTTTTTTTTTTTTTTTTTTTTCATGCTTTGTATTGACCATTGTGGGGAGCTTGAAGTGGATGGAGGGATGGCGGAGAAGGCAAGAGATAACATAGCTCCATCCTGTTACATATCCCTCTTTTTCCCTCTCATCTCTCCACCTCTCTACCTTTTCTATCCATCTCCCCCTCGTTCTAGTGCTCCACCTGTGAAATGCAGAGGATGTGCGATAGAGAGGAAGATGGAGAGACAAAGAGATGGATGGATGGATGGATGGATGGGATGGATGGATGGATGGAGGGCGGTAGGGAGGGAGGTTTGAAATCAGAGCGGGGGTAGAGCCTCACAACATTAGCATGCTGAGAGTGTCAGCATTCTCCTCTTTTTTTTTTTTTTTTTTCCCTCTCCCTCCATCCCCATCCCTCTTTCCATCCCTCCCTCTGTCTCTTTCTCCTCACTGGTCACTGCAATTATACCATCAAAACACTCCAGCCTGAGAGCATAATAGCTTCCCCCTGTGAGTGTGTGTGTTATCATGAGAGATCAAAAGAAAGGCATGTGTGTGTGTGTATGTGTGTATTTGTGCATAATTTAGTGCCATACATGGTGCATTACGTGTGCATGTATGACATGAAGGGCAGCTGTTGGTGTGTGAGAGTGTGTGTGAGCCAAATCTGGATTTTGCAGGAATTGTGTGGGTGCACACGAGAGAGAGAGTGTGTGTGTGTTTTAAGTGTCTCTTTGAGTCCTACCGGCTAGAAAAACTGCTTCTCCAACCTCTGACCAAACGCACTCTTAAACGCACTCTAAGAGACCCACTTGTGTGTGTCTAGTGAGCGTCTATTTACACACTAGCTCACACTAATGGATGCACACAGGCGTACAGTCATGGCTTGGAGACACAAACCGTTATGACCTACATGCCCAGTGGGTCATCATGAAGCCAAACAGCACACTGTGACACCTTCGGCTGTCTGCACACTCACTTTTTCCCTCTCTCCCTCTCCCTCTCTCTCGCTGTTTTTGTTTTCGTTCGTATCCCTTCCGCCCTCTGTGTCTTCCTTTTTTCTCTCTTTCTCTACAGCACACACCACTCTGCTCCCCTCTATGAGCTTGTTATCCCTCTCTGTCCATTCGTTCCTCTCTGTCACCTTGCCCTCAGCTATTTGAGTACACTTCTGTCTTTCATACTCCCTCCCATCTCTCTCTCTCTCTCTCTCTCTCTCGCACACATAAACACATTCACTCTCTTCCTGTCTGTCTGCCTCGTGCTCTGTTCCAACCTCGCTCTCTCTGTTTCTGTCTGTCTTGGCATATGTTTTCAGCCTCTCAGCGTCTCTTTTACTTCAACCCGGGGTCTGAATGTTCGTTGAAGAGTGTCACCAGGACAGTTCGGTTCTCCCGTCGCGACGACGGTTTGAAAAATGTCTGAAAAATGCAGCGCTCGATGACCTTATTTTGGCATCGTCATTTATCACCGACGCAGAAATCCTGAACTGGAGGTGTGTAAAAGGAGAAATGTGAAGAATCACGAGTAGAAATCTGTGTAAGAATTCCACAACACCAAAGATGGCGGTTGTATGACACATAGCTAGATTTTTTTCTTCTTACAAAAACGTCCTGAGAAAGTTCTGCAAAAGGTATGAGAAGGTTTTCAGTGAGATGTTTTCTTTTAGTTCCCAAAACGTTCTACTTAAAAGATAGGAAAATTAAAGATGTTCTAGTAATGTTGGGTGATAACGTTGTTCGACTATTCCACCCTAACTGAAAGCGTTCTTCCTCTCTTATCACTGAAGAACACTTTATAAATCGTGTTCCCTAAACAACGTCCCTGAAACATCTTCAGAACCCTGCAAGCAGAATGTTTGCTGATACGTCACACTGCAGGAACATCTTATGAAGAACTTTCTGTCTACTGAGGCCTCGATAACATCTCGAAAATGTTCTCTGAATGTTGAGAACATTGAGAGCATCCCAGCTAGAATGTTCTTTCTGCAAAGTTCTGCTCATGTCTTCAGCAGGACGTTTCAGTTTAGTTCCCAGACTGTTGCTTTTAATCTAAAAATGTTTGGTGATAACGCTGTTGGGCCGTTATACTCTAACGTTCTCAAAACTTGTTACATTCAGAACGTTCTTCCTTTGTTATCACGTAACACTGTGGAACATTGTGGGAACATCATAATGTGTTCCCTCAACAACATCCCCCAAACGAATCCCAATGCTGCCTTGAGAACATCCTTCCCAGTTAGGAAACATTCAGCGTGCATGCGTATTTGAAGTATAACGCTTTTAAAACCATATGTGGGGCAGATTTTATGTCCTAGTGACCACTGGAATTGCAGCTCTCTTCAGTTAGGATGGGGACCTGACCCAAAATACTCCGTCCAGGGATCTTACCAAGATGGCTACCGGGTGGTGAGCCTTGCCTACAAGCGCTCTGAGCAATTAAAGCCACACAGGATCTAATGACAGATGTCTTTTAGTTGCATCACTGGAAATGTTTTGCCTGTAGGTTTGCTTGTCAGTCAGTAG